ATCTTTTTCGTTTGAGACTATCCTCTAGAACGACTTACAATGTGTCCAATACCATAGATTCATCTACTATTAATGATGAAGTTTGTTGTTTGATAAGAAATTTAAAAAAAAAAAAAAAAAAAAAACGAGGAAAAAAACAAATTATTGCAACTATATTTCTTTTGAAGCTCAAAGTTGATCGCTGAAAAACCAAAATGAAGTTGGAGCGTAAAATGCTTCTTCGTTCATCACTGTTTGACTGAGCTGATATTGCTTCTTCTTCTTCTTCTCATGAATACGAACGTAAGCAGAAAAAGTTCCTAATTTCAACAATTCTACTTTATCACCAAGTGAAAATAGAGAAATATAATTTGGCACAGGATACAGTTAGGACTTGTTTGTAACAAAGGAAAATATTATCAGTGAAGGTAGCATATCCGGGTAATGATTACATATGAACAAGAATAAGTGATTTATAGTCTCGTAGCACGACTTTTTTCAACTAAACATGAAGTTTTTTCAGGAAAACTTGGTGTGAGGAAATAATTGCAAATGTACCGTTGTTTCCAGTATCTTTTGTTCTTGAAATTTATTGTCAACACATTTAGCTTGTGTAATGTTATACGAAACTCAGTGTAAAATTTTATTTTTCAACAATCATTCAACAGTGCACTGTTACCATTTAAAGTGCAAAAAAGGTAGATAATGAACAATGGTATTAGGATGGTGCCTCTTGTTTACAATCGGCGGAGATCATGAACGTAGGGTAAACAACTGTCATCTTAACAGATCAACAGTTGTTTAAGGTAATAAACAAAATAACTGTGCACCAACTTCTGATAAATTCTACATCTAGTTAAACACTGTTGAGTAAACAATCGTTTTATTTTTCTAATCATCTCTCTGAGCTTCTAAGCATTAACCGGTTAATTTGAAACGTTTTTATGGCAAAATTAAACCACTTTCATCAAATTTTTTCTCAGTGCCTAAAACCACAAACAGCATCCTTCCGGTTGATGAGATTTGATCCGGACTGCTATGGCAAAACGTAGGCAACTTTACATGCGCATCGATTTTGATAATAACCCGTACCGTACTAACGATTATACTATTATAGCAAAAATAACTAAAACAGAATTGCGTTTATCAGGTTCAGCTTTAAAATTCTTAAAAACAGTCGTTTGCAGTCCTCCCGCTTTGTTAACTGTAGGTTTTTAAAATTTACCCATTAAAGTTTCCTCAAAAGTACCAAGTTTTAAACGATCATTTTAATACTCCATATAAATTGTGATGTCTATTTTGAAAACCAATTCTTGGAATTGGTGAAAACACGCATCCGAATCATTCACAATAATTTTATGATATATTTTTACCGCGTACTATCGTAATAAATTTCCTGCAGCTCATTTTCTGGCTGCCTGATTTTTTTCGATCCTCTACCTCTTTCCAGTTCTTTGCCTCTACCTGGTCCTCTGCCTCTTTCTGGTCTTCTACCTGCTTCCGGTGTCATACTTCTGTCTGGCATCCTACCTCTATCCGGTGTCATACTTCTGTCTGATATCATACCTCTATCCGGTGACATACTTCTGTCTGATATCATATCTCTATCCGGTGTCATACCCCCTTCTGGTCTCCTACTTTTTTCGGGTGGTCTCTGAATTCTAATAGCCTCCCTGGTTTCTTCAACAAATCTCCCATATTTGGGATTATCAAATAACGCATAACTGGGCACATCAAGTGACGCATAACTGGGCACATCAAGTGACGCATAATTGGGCGCATCAAGTGACCGACGTCGACCCGGTGGTGTGGAATAACGGTCTTGAAAGTCTTTCTGTTCAGTAGCTTCATAATATAAGTGCTGCTCTTTATCTACTTTATCGTACTCTATAGGTTCTTTCTTTCTGAGTGACCGCAGTCTTTCAGTTATCTGTTCACGGAACCTAATGAATATAGCTCCGCTCAATGACAGTAAGGAGCAAATCACGCACATCAAAAACGTCACGAAATAATCTGAAAAATGTCCTTCTTTTTAATCCTGTAGTATTTTACTTGAATGTTGTTGCAGTAGCTGTAAGATGGTAAAGGAAAATCAGTTTTTTCTACAATAATTATTGTTTTCGCGATCAATAAAAAACTGTTTTTTTCAAAGCAATAATTTGTTAACCTACAATCAGTACCGCTGTCGTCCTTCTTCAGAAGTTCACTTCCAGTTTTCCAAGCCTAGAATGGTTGCTACTTGTTTATGTTTTTAAATTATATCACTTAGGGAGTCGTTATAAGGTATTGAAAGTACTGCTATTTATTCAAAAAAAGTACTTTTGCAATCTTTCAGTTTGATAATAGACTTTATATATTTAATTTTATCGCTGATGGTAAAGCGTTGACTGATTTGTAAAAGGCTTGTAGAACGAAAAAGCAGAATGAAATCCTGAATTTTCTTACGGGTCCTGGTAGAGGGACGTTGCTATGAGGATAATTTGTATCAATATTTGGCTGTGTTTCATCGGGTTTTGGTAGTAGCTCTGCAACTAGATGACTTCTAAGCTAGATTTGACGTATGAAACAGTGGCTGGTGATAAACTGGTTATTGGACATATGCTTCAAATTTGTTCCAGTGTTCTTTTTTTTTCTGCTACAATAACAAACCTAACACACCTGAAGTTTCTGGAGGAGGTGTTTTTGGTATCCTCGGATAATTAGATCGCATTTCAGTTCTTGCCTAGATCGTTCAAAACTAAAACACTGAACACCTTGTTGAATGTACAGGAAAGTGGGTAAAAGATGACGTCGAGCTACTTACCGACAGCTGAGTGAAGCCTTTGCACTTCAACAGCTAAAACGAGCATACCTTAAAGGTATTGAAGCGGATCGTTTTATGCTGTATTAGAAAAAAAATGGTAGAATTATAGGTTTAAAATAAAATTTTACAATAATTTAGTTCAATTTTTTCTTCTGTTTCTGTTACAGATCAAGTTTTTGCGTCTAATAATTGGCATCAATAAGCTGTCGATAAGCAATGTCTACTCGAGGTTTATTGGACAACTGTACTTTAAAAACTGCATTTTTAAGTACAATTGTAAGTGGTATGCAAATTAAACATTCTCTTTGGTGATAAATCTTGAAATTTTACTTTACAAACCACAGTATCGGAAGTAACCGTACTGCATCGTACTTTACCGGGCACACGTTTTTCCGCACCTGAAAAATGTTTTCAACAGATGCTGCTAAAGTTGGACGTCGAATTGCAGTGGTTTTCTATTGATCTGTTTTAAGATACTGGCCAAATAATGAAAATAAAATGCCAAAATGTTGTAAAAAATTTTTAGCAATTAAAAATATTGCAGTTTATAGAGAATTGATGAAGAACCACATTATGTCAAATTTTTTGAAAGAAAAAAAAAAAAAAGAAAAGAACAATAATAAGATGTAATTTTGAATATTATGACATCGTTCTACTGTTACTTGAGTAATGATAGATGAATATATGGTTTTTTTTCAGAAATTTTTTTGTTGAAAAAGTTAATAAGTTGAGCATTTTTAAAATACAAATGAATTACGTTGAACATATGTCCGGCCAAGAGTAAAACAACATTCTTCATACACTTCACAACCTCGTAATTGTAAATCGTAATAAATTTTTGCAAACTTTATATCAACATCATTTGGAATAATCAGTTGTCTACTGCTATTTAGCCGAAAACCAGTAAGAATATGGGTTTGTGCAAGTGTGCTAAAATTACCTAAAATAAACGATGTAAGAAAGAGTAAATTTTAAAATTTACCTTTATCTCAATAAAGTGCTCAATGATCAAATGATATAGTCTATGATTGACTTGCCGTTATTCTAACTAACTTAATTCAACTTTATTAGAAAAAGAAAAATTTGTTTAAATGATTAGCAATAACTTTTATTAAAAAAAAAAAAAATTTTTTTTTTTTCTAAATTTAATTTGAACATTGATAAAAAAAATAAAAAATCTTATTTTTATAACACTTATAATGAAAATTTAAGAAACACTTCAGTCCACTATTTTATTTGTATACATTTGTTTTTTTTCTATAAAATGCTAATTTTGTAATAAAAATATTATTTGGTTGATAGCTTTTTCTTCACTTTTTAAAAACTCCAAAAAAAAAAAAAAAAACTTTGCTTATAATTCTTGCTCAAAACAAACAGCTTAAGATTTTTGAATCCTATAAGCATCTATGTCAGCTTCTACTTTAAATAGCAAATTACTAACTGATTTGGCTTATTTATTACAATTAATTTTCATTTTTATTTTTCCAAAAATCTCTTACAGTTTTCTTCACTCATTTTGAGCACAAAATGCAAGTAAATTATTTCTCAATGTATATACATATTTATATGGC